CGGCGCCCAGTCTTGGTGCAAATGTTCCAGCTCCGTGAGCTCTCTCTGGCTCCAGGGTCCACGCTGAACTCAGTGTCAGCTTCTGAGGAGGTTGCTGGTAACTGTTTCTGCCCGTGCTGGAGAGCCCAGGAGGCCGGAAGCGCCTGGTCTGAGCCCACTCCCGGACCCCAGGTGGTGTGCTGGACACAAAGTTCTGGTGCCCAATAAGGCAAGACTGGCAGTCACCCCAGCTTCCATCTGCTCCTGATATCCTCCGGCCAAATCAGGGACAGAGGTGCAGAGTGGGACAGGCCGGGCAGGGGTGCAGCTGTAGCTGTGCTCAGCGGGCATTGCTAGCTCATGACCGCTTCTTGGGCAGCTGCTGCCTCTCTCCACCTTTCCCAACTAACTGTCCACCAGCAGGCTGACCTCAGGGAGACAGGAAAGAGCTGGCTCCTGCCATAGCGGAGGAGGAATGGAGGAGGAATACTGGGGACACTCTGGGTCTCCCCTCCCCCCTCCCTTCCTGTCACTGTGTGAGCCTGACCCGGCTATGCCTTCTCCGACCTCCGTTCTCCATCGTGAATCTGCAGATCCCACCAGTGGCCCATGGCTCCTAGTCATCCTTCCAAGCCGGTCTGGGAGTGTCTAACCTGGCTGTCCTCTGCTGTCCCCACCTGCCACCAGGCTGCTGTCCCCGTCCTCTGGGACCGGGCAAACCCTGACAAGCACACAGATCCTGGCCTCTGCAGGAAGTGGAACTATGGAGCCCAATCATGGTTCCCAGCCACAAGGCAGGCAAATTCCTTAACCCCTCAATCCTCTGTTTGCTGATCCACAAAGTGGATAGACCCACATCATCTCCTCTGCGGCCACTGTGAGGCCTGGTGGCAGTCGCCAATGCAGGGAAAGCACTGGCCGGGGGCTGGGCCCAGTCTCTGTGCCCAAGTGTGAGTGGCAGGGCACCGTGTGTGTGGAGAGAGGACCAAGGGGTGCCTCACATGAGGCCCACTGGGGGGCAGGAGCAAAAGCTCATGGCTGAGCATCGGTTCGGCTGGCAAGAGCTCTCTGGGTGCCATCCCTAGCACTGCATGGTCCCCTGAGCACCAAACAAGGAGCAGCCACTGAGCATCACCAACTGTTGGATAAAACAGTGGGTGTTGGGGCCGGAGCGATAGTACAGCGTGGAGGGCATTTGCCTTTGCACACGGCTGACCCTGGGTCAATCCCTGGCATCAGGTATGATCCCCCTGAGCACTGCCAGGAGTAATTCCTGAGTGCAGAGCCAGGAGTAACCCCTGTGCATCGCCGGGCATGACCCCAAGAGCAAAAAAAAATAAATAAAAAGAGTGGGTGTCCCTGCCATGGAGGGGAGTGGAGTGGAGCAGGGGAATAGAGACCCCTGGCAGCTGCCCATCCCCCTCCTCACCATGGGTGAACACTGCAGAGACCCACCTCCTGTCTCAAACAGAGGGCAGGACCTTCTGCCAGGACTGCTGGGTTTAGGACTAAGGGCTTTTCACAGCAGGGGAGGGAAGAGATGGGGGGGGGGCATGGGGGATGGGGGGGAGGGGCGATTTCTAAAGCAGACATCCTGTCCAGCACGTCTGGGAACTGGATTCAATCAGGAGAGACCCAGTACCCAATTCTCACTCCCACCATTCGGGCTCTTTTATGCCGCCTCCCTCTTGGTTCCTTTTTGAAAAGGAAAAACGCGGGTCATCCCCCAGGCTGCTAGGTGGGAACCAAGGACAGTGGTGAGGGTCCTGTAGCTCACTAGCTTGTCCCAACTGCGAAGTTCCATCACCTGCTACTTCCATCCAAACCTGTGGGCAATAAGGACTCCCCCGCTCTGCCAGTGGCTCATATTTTGGGGTAAGGGCTGTGGTGGTGGGGGTTGGGGAATCACAAGCGCTTTGCACGGCAAGCTGCCCTATCCCCTGCACTCTCCCCAGCCCACGCCAGCGGCACTCAGGGTGCCTGGGACCCTGCCCGCAGTTCTGAGCCAACCAGGCCAGCTGCTCAGTGCAAGGATTACCCAGGTCACCCTGGAGATGTCGTTAGGTGTGTGTGGGGGATGTCTCAGGGTCACACACTACATACAGGGGGCTGGGGGCTCAGGTCTGCAGCCTGCAGCACTCTGGGGAACATGGAGCAGCCCTAAACCCCTTGTGCTATCTCTCTGGCCTCCACTTACCCACATGCCTCCTGGCTGGAATACTTCCCCCGAGAAACGGGTGCAGGTCTCGCCTGGTGCACCATCCGCAGCACTGCACTGGTGAGCCCGATGGCCAGCAGAGGGCGCCGTAGTCAGGCCTCTTGACCCACGGAGGGGCCTGTGCTAGCACTCCAGCACCGGGTCCCCCATTAACCGAGCAGGGGGTGGTCCTCCCCGACATGGGTGTGATTTGGCATTCCAGGGTCACAGAGCAGCACTGCCAGGCTTTGCCCCAACGACTGGTAAAAAAACGCAGATTTTTGGATGCTGCTTTGATGTGGTCGCGCTGGCAGGCTGAAACAGCAGGTGGGCAGCGGGCCGGTGATTGTCTTTGAATGAGCCGTGGGCAGCCTCTGCATCCGGTTCCAAAGTACAGCTGGGCTGGGCTGAGAGCCGCAGGATGCCAGCCTGCCCCTCAGCCCTTGCCCTGAGCTCTCTGAACCCCTGCCTCTCTGGGATCTCTGGGTCCTGCACCCCTGCCTTCTTCCTGCAGGGGGGAAATACTGCCCAGCTCACCCACAGGGCCTTTGCTCGCTCTCCTTCCCCAGGGCTGGGCTGGAGGTGGCCTGGGTCTGTGGGTGAGGCGTCTGGCAGCGGAGGCCCCTCTGGCCTCCATCCTGCCCCCACACAGAGGGCAGGGCCTGCTGCTGTTGGCCCACTTACCTGGTCAGTGCATTGGGGCGGGGGGCAGCCCACCTGGCCTGACACCCCAGATCCTATCAAAGTGCAGCCCAGGGCCTGGCCTTGAGATGCAGTGTTTCCTGGGCTGTCGGAGCCACACAGACTTCCCCACCCCATACACACGTCTGGGGCAGTTCTGGCAGCTCTGCCCAACACTAGGGGTAGCAAGCTTGTCTCTCAGGGGCTCCACAAAGTTCAGAGCCCCACCAGGAGTGAGCCCTGAGCACCACAGAGCAACCCACAAACCAAAACCAAAAAACCCCAGAATGAGGGGATACAGCGGTAGGAGACATGTGGGGGTACAGTACTTCAACGCAAGATCCTGACTGCAGGGGGCAGCTCTGCAAATGTCAGCCAGGTGCTCTGCCCTCTGGACAGCCCCGTCCCTTGGGGCCTGTTGGTGCGGCAATCTGATGTCCCCAGGCACCTCCTCTGCATGTCCCCCACTTTAGTGTCCCTAGGAACAGCTGACCCAGACTACGAGCCTGAGGGGGTAACAGGGGTGTCTTGGGGGTCTTCACTCTGCAGAACAGGGTCTGACAAGGGTTTTTGCTTTTTTGCTTTTTGGGTCACACTCAGCGATGCACAGGGGTTCCTCCTGGCTCTGCACTCAGGAATTACTCCTGGTGGAGCTCAGGGGACCATATGGGATGCTGGGAATCGAACCCAGGTCGGCTGCCTGCAAGGTAAACGCCCTACCCGCTGTGCTATCTCTCCAGCCCCAAGGGTTGTTTTTTTTTTTTTTGCTTTCTGGGTCACACCTGACGATGCTCAGGGGTTACTCCTGGCTCTGCACTCAGGAGTTACTCCTGGTGGTGCTCGGGGGACCATATGGGATGCTGGGAATCGAACCCAGGTCGGCTGCCTGCAAGGTAAACGCCCTACCCGCTGTGCTATCTCTCCAGCCCCAAGGGTTGGTTTTTTTTTTTTTGCTTTTTGGGTCACACCTGACGATGCTCAGGGGTCACTCCTGGCTCGGCACTCAGAAGTTACTCCTGGTGGTGCTCGGGGGACCATATGGGATGCTGGGAATCGAACCCGTGTCAGCCATGTGCAAGGCAAATGCCCTACCTGCTGTGCTATCGCTCCAGCCCCTGACAAGGGTTTCTTGAGAGAAGCGAGGGTGGTCTCTTGGCTCCTCTGGCCGGCCCTCCACCCCCACCTTGGCCCCTCCTTCCCCTCCCCTGGAAACTTGTACTTCAGTACAGAAAAACGAACTTGCCAGAAGTCAGATGTCTGGCTCTCTTGACGTGGGCCAGCCTGGAAGGTGCTGGGGGCACCTGTCCCACCTCAGGGACAAATGGGCTAAGGGTTCGGGGTGGAAGGTGCCCCAGAACACTGGGAAAGGGGAATGGATGGGAAGGAGAAGCCCATAGGGGGAGCTGCAAGGTGGGAGACGCTGGGAAGGGTGGGGGGGAACAGCGGTTCAGCTCTGGGGTGTCTCCGTCCTGTAGTAGGGTGCCCAGGAGCAAGATTCCCCACCCAACTCCCTTCCCACGTCCTTGCCCAGGACAGGAGGGCCCCGAGAATAGGTTCCACCACTCACACAGACTGCAGGGCGAGGCAGGGGTCAGCTACCCAGCATGGCCTACCTTGCCCCATCTACAGAAGGGGAGACTTGGACGAAGGGTCCAGAGCTGTGCAGGCCAGCCCAGGCCCCCCCTCCTCACAGAGACGGGCTACAGGGGTCAGTCTCCACCCCCAGCCCCGAGGACACACCGGTGCTCCCCTCTGCCACCCAGAAAAACCTGTGCTGGAGGCCGGAGTGATAGCACAGTGGGTAGGGCATTTGCCTTACACGCAGCCAACCTGGATTCGATCCCCAGCATCCCATAGGGTCCCTGAGCACTGCCAGGAGTAATTCCTCAGTGCAGAGCCAGGAATAACTCCTGAGCATCACCACTGGGTGTGACCTAAAAAGCAAAAAAAAAAAAAAAAAAAGCCTGTGGTTTAGGCTGGAGCTGGAGAGACTGTAACCACAGACCTATGTCTGGGCTCATGGGCTCTCTCCGGGGCACGGCTGCATACATGAATCATGTGGTGGGGCAAGGCAGGTAAAAGCTACCGGAGCACCAGCTTCCTGGGACACACACGTCTTGCAGCCAGATCTCAGTACCCATCGGGCGTTTATTTAGACTCACAAATAAAAGAACCTGGTAGTAGTTCAGTTTGCGTTTTTTTTTTTTGGCTATACATATATATGTATATCTATACATATACATATATACTTTTATACATACATACTTTTTTAAAAAGATAAACACACCACCAGTTCCCATTATTTTCTCTACCGAGCAATATATACAGCCTATTATATATACGTGCATCTAGGCACGTATATATTTTTTTCAATAGGTAACTACATTCAAGTAATGAAACACAGGATTTACAATTTCCCTCTGCGGGCAGAGGGAAAGCAGATTCACAGAGTTCACAGAGGAAGTACCGTAAGAGCCCAGTCGGAGCCCGGGACCCCCAGGGGGTGGTGGAGGGGGCGGCAGCAGCGATCACAAGTCACACAAGGGCTGATGCTGGGCGACGGGCTGGCGCTGTCAGGGTGCCCAGCCCCTGCCCGGGGTGGATGGACGGGCCATGCTAGCTGGCCCCAGGCTGCCTGGCTGGAGGGGAGGGGGGGTTACGTTGGTAACGACACTATCACAAGAGCTTCTCAAACTTGGGGTTCACGAAGGAGAAGCCGGCAAAGGCGGTCTGGTCCATGGAGTCGATGAGGTTCTTGTCGCTGTAGGAGAGCCGCGGCTTCTCGCCCAGGAACTCCTGGTCGAAGTTGCTGTAGTCTCCGGGGGACTTCTGCGAGGAGAAGCCAGCGTGGGGTGAGCGGTGTCTGCAGGACCCTCCCAGCCCCCCGACCCCCCACCCCAGGGCCGGGCCAGGGCAGTCCTGAGGAGCAGAGAGGGGCCAGCTCCCAGCAGCCACAGGAACCCAGAGCAGGAAGCCGATGCTGCCCCCGCCAGCGGTTCACTCCGGGCAACCCAAAAGAAATGAAAACTGAACACAACTCAAATCCCAGTGTCTTCTATGGAGTCGGCCTGTGTCCAGCCACGCCCACCCGCTGACAGGTCATCCAGGGTCGCTTGGGGACTTGCTGGCTGGCTGGCAAAGGCTCAAAGATTTACTACGGGGCTGTTCCCGAGGAAAATGGGCCAACTCTCTCTCAGCTTCCCAGGACACAGAGAAACGGCAAGAGGCTGAGGTGGTGGCTCATGGGGGTGGGGGCCCCCTTCACATGCAGTGGCCCCGGGTTCCATCACCCAAATCGCACAGGCCCCCGGAGCCCCAGGGTGTGGCCCCACATGTAACAAAGCAGGGAACGGCACCTGGGGCCCAAGCCCAGGGCTCCGGGGCAGACAGGCTCCCCACCACTCCCCCGCCACCTGTCGCTGGGTTTCATGGTACTTCAGCCCACATTTTTTCATTGACACAAAAATCTGGATTTCTGGCTTGTTTGAAAAACTGGCCGAGTGGAGCAGCTTTGGGCCTATTTCTTGGCATGTCTGCTCGGGCTGACCCACCACAGGTCCGGCCGTGACCCAAGCAGGGCTGCCGGCCACAGGGGTACGAGAGAAAGACGCCTGTTCTCCTTCCGCAGGCCTGTGGGGTGGCGCCCCACCTTGTGTATGTGTGTGTGGGGGGGGGGGGGCAGCTGGGCTGAGTAGGAGGGGCGCACCGGAGACAGAGCCAGCCACACGAGGGCCCCTGTGCAAACTCCCTTCCTCGACCTGACTGATCTCCCCAGCTGGGCCTGCACCCACCTCTTCTCAGGTCCACCCCTTCCCTGCATACGGGGCTCCTGGGCAAGGCTGCCCCCACGGCCCAGGGCCACCAACAGGCATGGCCGAGTCACACCCCCTGCATCACACACAACCCTGAGCACAAGCTCCCAAAGGCTCCAGCCAGGCAGGGCTCCAGGTCTGGGCCGTGCTCCTACTTGGCCCGCTACGTGCTCAGCGCTTCCCGTGTTAGTGGAACACCGACGGGGAGGGGTGAGGTGAGCCCCTCGGCCAGATCCCCAGAGCAGCTCCCTGCATTCAGCGCGCACCCAGGGTCCAGAGTGCTGGGTGAGTGGTGGACGGGGGAAAGAGGAGCAGCAGAGGGAGGGGCTGAAGCCACTTGGGGGAGGGCAGCGGGGCAGCGGGTCAACGGCGCAGCGCCTGGCGCGGGTCACATACCACTTTGGGCTTGAAGGGCGGCTCCAGCTCGCGCTTCTCCAGCAGAGTCCAGTTGATGGTCTTGAAGAAGGGGTGCGTCCGGATCAGCCCTGTCACTCCCAGCCGCTTGTTTGGGTCCCTCTCCAGCAGCTACAACCCAACAAGGACCCTGATCAGCACCCGCACAGACGGTGACACTCAGCAGCACCTGCGGGTTCCCTGGGCCCAGACAGCAGGCTGGCGGGCAGGGACTCTGGGCGCCAGGTAGCAGACTGGGCACCGCGGGCACGTCCGGGCTCCCGACCCCACAGTCCCGTGGACCGGCCTCTCCCAGCACCACCACTTGGGAGACGGGAAGTGGCAACTGGAGCGTCGGGTCTGCCTGTCCCCCAACCCTGAGTCGAGAATCAATCCCCAGGCTGACTCCGGGCAGGGCAGTCAGGCAGGGACTCAGGGTTCACAGCAAGATAGGCAGGATTATCTCTCCCCGCTCTCCGGGGCTCACGACAGAGGCTGCCCAGGCTGGGGACGGGGTGGGCTCCTGCACTCCTGACACCCACACTCCCCCAAACCCCGTCCCGGCCAGCCCCGCCCGGCCTCCTACCTTCTCCAGAATGTCCTTGGACTCCTTGGTGATCCAACGGGGGAAATACGGGGTGTCCACGCGGATGGACTCGAAGAGCTCGTCCTCGTCGTCGCCGTGGAAGGGGGACTGGCCGATGAGCATCTCGTAGAGAAGGACTCCAAAGGACCACCAGTCCACGGAGAAAGAGTACTTCTGACCCTGCAGGATCTGGGGCGGGAGGAGGGGCTGAGAAGGGCCCTCGGCAGGCGCCCTGGCCGGGGCAGCCCCATCTTCCTGGCCCCAGCTTGGATGTGGCTGGCCCGCGCGTCCGACAGCCAGGAGGAGCCGCTCACCTCGGGGGCGATATAGTCAGGGGTGCCGCAGAAGGTGCTGGCCAGCTTGTCCCCAAACACGTTCTCTTTGCACATCCCAAAGTCAGCAATCTTGATGTGGCCTGCGCTGTTCAGCATCACGTTGTCCAGCTTGAGGTCCCTGGGGCAAGGGATGGGAGAGGAAGTCGTCAGAAGCCCGTGCCCTGCACCCCTGGCCCCCGTCTCAGTTTCTCAACCCTCAAGGATGAGGCCTCCTGGGCCAGGGAGAGAATTCAAAGGGCTGAGCTCGAGACCTGGATTCGATCAAGAAAGACAGGGAAAGGAAGCAGAGAAGGAAAGAGGGGCCTCCGGCAAGCTCCTTTTACGCCAGGCATATGCTCAAAGTGAGGCTCAGAGGCGACATCACCTGCCCAGGCCCCCCCAAGCTGGGGAACACTGGAAGTGACCCCTGGGCTCAAGGTCAGTCTGATGCCTGGAGCGGGGGCTGCAGATGACTTAGGTCGGTAGATGACTTAGACACATGCAAACCAGGATGAGAAGCAGACGCCTGGGTGCCGAGGAAATGGTTCCACGGGCCAAGCACAGGCTCTGCATGCAGGAGACTTGGGCTTGATCATCACCACCTCCTGCTCCCCCAGTACCACCAGGAATGACCCCCAAGCACTGGGCTGGGAACAGCCGCTGAGCACCACCGGGTGTGGCCCAAAAGCAGGAAGGAAAAGAGGGAGGGAGGGGCAAGCGGCACCAAGCACCCTGCAATGGCATCTTGCCCCCCCCACCTAACAAAGCGTGAACCCTGACAGTATTTACTAATTTGGTCTTTGGGCCACACCTGGCAGTGCTCAGGGTTATGCCTGTCTCTGAGCTCAGGAGTGAACCCTTGCACTACTTGGGGGACTGTGGGGGGTCCTGGGGATTGGACCTGGACTGGCTGTGTGCAAGGCAAGAGCCCTACCTGGTGTACACTCACTCTCTGGCTGGGACCACCATCATTCAGGGAAGAACTAGGGGCAGGTCAGAGGGTTCAGAGCGAAAGACTTGCTCCCGGAAGGGCAAGTGGACCGGCTGGACTGTGGTCCTGCCAAGGCCATGCATGGGCAGCAAGTTCCCGGAGCTGGCACAGGGCCACCTGGCTGAGGGACCACAAAGAATGCCAGCAATGGAGTAGGTGGCTTAGGCAGATCCCAGGCGCTCAAGACAGAAGCTGAGTACAGGCCCGGCTCAGAACGTGTCAGAGAACATGACGAGTCGAAGCTTCCCGCCCCGCACCACCCAGAGCCCCCCAGTACCTGTAAATGATCCCTTTGCTGTGCAGGAACTGCAGGCCACAGATGATCTCGGCGCCATAAAAGCTGGAGGAGGGAGACAAGGTGTCCTGGGATTTCTGCCCACCAGCCCCAATTGCTCCGGGGCCCTTGCACTCATGCCAGGGGCAGGAAAAGCTGCCAAGGACACCGGGGACAACGAGGCCTGGTCAAGCACGTCATGACTCAGACCAGAGGGGGCTGGCAGCCCTGGGAGTGATGAAGGAAAAGCCATGGGAGTGTATGATGCACTTACTCTGGCTCACGCTCGCACACCCGCACACACCTGCACACATATACACATATGTACACACACATACGCACACATGTATACATGCAAACATGCATACACATAAGCACACACATGCAAATGCACACACGTATACACACATGCACGCACGCACATGAACACGCACACACACATACTGCACGAGCACACATACACGCACACACATGAATAGGCACAGCTGGGGGTCCACCCAGTCCACCCAGTCCAGAGGTGACACTCCAGTGCAGAAGACATCCGCCAAGCTGCCCTGGCATGTCTGTACTGTGCCCCCGTCAAGAGTGCCCCGCTATCTGGCTTCCCATTGGGGGGCAGTCCCAGAGGCCCCAAGAGCTTCCTCAGCCCAGCTCAGGCAGGCGGCCTCTTCGGGGAGGGAGCTGGGCAGTGGCCCTCACATACGTGGCGCGGTACAGCTCAAAGCGGCCCTTGTCCTGGATGTGGTACATCAGATCACCCCCGTTGAGGAACTCCATCACGAAGAACAGGTGCTCCTGGAGATTTGCGGTGGGTGAGAGCAGGGTGGTGAGTCCAGACCCAAGTTCCCAGGGGGCATACCCATGGCCCTGGGTGGAGGAGGGCAGAGGAGGAGAGGGGGCTGGGCACCTTGGTCTGGAAGGTGCAGTATAGGTGGGTGAGAAAGGGGTTCTCCCAGGCGAGCGCCAGCACCCGCTTCTCCACCATGGTGCACTCCACATCATCATCAATCAGGACCACGTCCTTCTTGAGCGCCTTGATGGCAAAGAACTCCTTTTTGTCCTTGAGCTCTGCCAGGAGCACCTGACCGGGAGAAGGGGCCTCAGCAAAAGGGCCGGGAAGACTGGCCCCAGCCAGGACACAACAGGTCCACCTGCAGATGCCAGCCGGACTCAGGGACCGAGCCCGGCTTCCGGGGGCAGCCCCTCACCTTCCCGAAGCTGCCTTTGCCCAGAACCTTGTGGAAGACGAACTTATCGATGGTGCACTTAGAAGACAGGCCCGAGGATTCCCAGAGCCGGTCATAGGCTCCAAGGTCTGTGGGAGACAGAAAATGAGACCCTGCTCCTCGGGGTCTGCCACGGTAGAGGCCTCTGTGGGGGAGTTCGGGTTTCCTGGGGGGAAGTGAGCCCAGTCTTACCCGGGCTATCGTCTCCAGAGACCCCTGGCTTCTTCTCAAAAGGCTGGTAGACCCCAACAACAGAATTTGAGGAATGCTGGCTCCCCAGGGACTGATCCAGATCCTTCCGGACGCTGGCTCTCTGCAGGGGATGAGGTGGGGGGAAGATGTCAGGGGGAGAACACCGCCCTCAGCATGACAGGGTGTCTAGGACCCACAGGCAGTGGGCACAACACACACACCGACACACAGGTATGCGTAACCAGACAGATTCATGCACACACTGACAACCCACCGACACAGATGGACGCACAATGACACACACATATGTGTGCACACTCTGACAAGCCACTAAGAGACGTGTACACACAGACACACAGATATGCACATACACTGAAACAGAGATGCATACACACACAAATGCATGCAAACACAGACACAGAGACTAATGACACACAGATGTGTGCACACACTGATACACGCAGATGTGTGGACACACAGAGATGCGTGCACACCCGGATATACACAGATGCGTGCAGACAGACACACATATGTGAAAACCAACCCACAGTCTGCTGCCTAATCACCAAATTAGACATTCCGGGAGGGGGTGTTGGGGACATGCCCCACCAGTTCCCTGGGAGCAGGGCCGAGTACTGCCAGGCTGCCTCCCACCACCCTCTTGCCAAGGACCCACATCTGCCCACCTGGGTGACTTGGTTCAAGGCCTCGGCCAGCAGCTTCTGGTTGATGCCACACAGGTTGGCCACCTTCTTCTGGCACTTGTGGTGCACATTCATGGAACAGTCTGGGGGCAAGGGAGGACTCAGGTCAGGGCCCTGCTAGGCACAGCCAGTAGCAGCACTGAGTCACAGGAAGGACCCCCGACTCCACCCCACCCCTGCACCCAGGCCCAGCTGAGGGGAGGAGTCTGATGCAGGGTTTCCTGTCGCTGGGGAAAAGTATCTGAGGCTGGCAGATGCTGTCACACCCTCCAGTAACCAAGGCAGAAGACAGGGACCTGGTTCTATACCCTCTAAAGAGTTCTGTCCTCCAGGGGTCTCGGGCAGAGCCTCAGGGCCAGGGCAGAGTTGCACCTAGCTCACGTGTGCCCCCACTCTACCCCCCAGCCTGGCAAAGGCTGGGACTGGTCGCCTGGGCTCGCACAGCGTGGGGGCAAGGGCAGCGCACCTACCTTCGCATTTGAGCCCCTGCTTCACCAGCCCCCAGAGCAGGCTGCCGCAGTGGTCGCAGAAGGTGGGGCTCATGTAGTTGTGAACCTTGAACCGGTGCGGCATGTCGATGTTGAAACGTTCTTTCTGGAACTGGGATGAGGATTCCCACGCGGAGGGTCACCGGCCTGCTCCAGACCCCTCTGCTGCCCCCCGCACTCTCCCCATAGCACCAAGCACAGCAAGATGCCCAAGATGGCACCCCCCACCCTAGAGCCCAGGAAATTCAGGGGCCCGAGGAGGCCAGCGGGATGTGAAGAACTAAGAAAAACAGGAAGGGCCAGACCCCTCCCAGCTGACCACCTGCCCCTAGTCCCGGGCCCGGCCTCACCAGGGTGTCGCGGCTGTTGGCGGCCGTGCCAGTGCACCGGCCGATGATCTTGTCGATGCATTTCTTGTGGATAGCAGCGTTGCATTCTTGAGGTGCGGCAAATTGGGGAGGGGGGATGGGAAGACACCGGGAGGGAGGGGCAGAGGCTGTGAGCTGGCACCCGAGGGCGCAATGCAGCCTCCGGGACAAAGCTGCCATTCTCCCCGCAGCCCACACCCTCACCCCGAGCCTCAGCAGAGCTTGGGTCCTCCTCTCCCCGGGCCCCTCCCAGCAGGCCGGAGAGGACTGCGGGGGCGATGTGGAAGGCAGCGGGGGTTAGGGGAGGCGCCTGGCGTCCCGGGGCGGATACCAGGGGTGGGGTATCTGGGAGAACGGGCAGCAAGGGAGCCCCTGACCCCCTCATCCATGCCCAGGACAGGTGGTACGAGCTCCAGAGCGCTCTCAGACAGACAGACAGACACACTCCAACTCAAGGACCGGGGACACAGGCACACCCCGTGGCCGGATATGCACAAGCTGGAACACGGGCGGGACCGGCACCCTGGAAGGAGCGTGAGCACTGTGCGCCCAGTGATTGTGCCAGTGACTCTGTTATCATCTGTTAGACATGAGGAAGCTGAGAGCAGTGTCCAGTGGGAGAGTGGACTCAAGTCCACGCCCCATGCTTCTGAGCACATGAACAGTGGGAACACACACACACACACACACACACGCACACACGCACACACGCACACGCATGCAGGATGGCCTTCCTGCTGGCCTCCCTGGGAAAGAGTCCCATGGCCATACTCTGCCATCACGACTCATCGGAGATTCCCAGCCTGAAGCCACTGGCCATGGGGTCACCGGAGAGACAGAGGCCTGGGTTTTGGTGGCTGGAGCCCCCAGCACCGTGCCTTGGGACCCTCCCCAGGCCCACGGGGACACAAGCCTTCCCAAATGGGAGTGGAAACAGGGTGAGTTTATGCAGACAGGGCGGTGGTGACACTTACGCCGACACTTGTATCCTTGCTTGTTGAGACCCCTAGAAGGCAAGAATCCCAGAGGAGGGTGAGTTATGGGGAGCACAGAGCGTGGGGACCCCCGCCCCCTCCTCAGCCCCCGAGGACACAAGCTGGCCTCACCAAACAAAATCCTTGCACACGGAACAGAAGGTGGGCTGCCCAAAGAAGGTGGCGATGAACTCGTGGTTCTTGATGTAGTGGATCTTGGCCTGCTTGATGGCCCCCCGGCGGTTCATTGTGGATGGACACATGGCTTCGTCTTCACCCCGAATCGACTGCTTGCAGTCTAGGGGCCGAGGGGCAGGAGGGTGAGTTCCGGAGAGGCCCAGACAGGCCTGCCCGTGTGGATGCCTCCCTGAACCCCCCTCCTGCCTCCCGGTCCTGGGAGGGTCTTACCTGTGTCTTCCAAGAAATACTGCACAGACATTAACACCTTGGCCTGTGGCTGCAGGTCCAGCTGTCGAGGTGAGGGCAGGTGGAGGGAGAGGGATCAGTGAGGGGCGGGCCCACCCCCATGGCTGGTCCCGCCCCCATGGCTGGTCCCCCAAACCCCAGGGCCCAGGTGTCAGGCCCTAAGCCAGGGGACAGTGTGGTCAGGGAGGACAGGGAGAGCTGGCCCCGCCCTGGCCCCGCCCCCACCCTGGGATTGTTACATTTGGGGAAGTGAAAGATTCCAGCCCACACCCAGCCTGACAGAGGCCCGGGAACAGAGAGGCAAGGAAAGCTCCCCACCCACACCCAGCTGCCCCCTTCCCCAGGATCCCCCGTTAGACACTCCCTGTCCCCAACTATGTGTGCACACGCGCGCCTGCACACACACACACACACACACACACACACACACACGGGCACACACTCAGGCATGCATGCGGACACATGCACACATGGCACATGGATGTGTACACACACATACGGGCGCACACACAGGCATGCACGCAGACACATGCACACATGGATGTGCACGTGCACACACATACATACATACACACACACAGGAATGCATGTACACAGCCGTGCCTTGCTGACACTGTCCGTGTGCCCCACAGACCAGACCCTCCTCCAGGGCCCAGACTGTCGCTCAGGGGAGCATAGCAGGCGTGTGCCTGGGGCTGGCACACACCGTCTGCCAGAGGGGACACCTAGGCAGCAGGAGCCTCATGCCACCAGGGACAGAGCCACCACGTGTGATGCCAAGTGGGCAGGTGAGGGGGTCCTCGTCTTCCCTGTTCCTTCCCACTGCCTGTCTGGGCCTGGAAAATCCAGGAAGAATCTGGGGGAGTGGAGGAACAGATGTGGCTTCTGCAAGAGGGGCCACATCCCCTCAGCGCCTGATACCCTCCTCGGGTTATGGAACAGCTCTGTCTCACGTCCACAGGCCAGTCCTGACCAGCCCCCTATGTCCAGCTGTTCACTGCATCTGCACGGCTGATCCAGAGATGAGGTCTTCAGTGACCCCTTTCACCGAGGCAGAAATGGAAGCACAGAGAGGCTGGAGTGAGCTCCATGCAAGAGCGAGGGGGCCCGGGGCTGAGCGGCTGACTGCAGAGCAGTTACCACGGCCAGAGCAAGGGAGCCCCTGCAGACAGCCCCCTCTCCCCCAGGCACCACACACACACAGACATACAACACACAGCACACGCACACACAGGCACCACACACACACACACACAGAATGTGCACACACAGCATGTGCACACACACGGGCAAGGCTCACACACACACATAGCACACACAGGCACAGTACACACCTAAATACAGCAATATACACACACAGCACATACATAGACACACAGCACACACACGTAGACACAGCACACACACACAGGCACAGCACACACACACACAGCACACACACAGGCACTGCACACACACACAGCACACACAGGCACAGTACACACCTAAATACAGCAATACACACAGAGCACATACACAGACACACAGCACACACAGACACAGCACACACACACAAGGCACAGCAAACACAAAGACACAGCATACACAGGCACAGCATACACACACACAGCACACACATACACACGTAAGGCATGTACACAGATACTCACAGGCACAGCACACAGCATACAAACACACACACAGAGCATGTACACAGACACACACGCACACGGCACGCTCACAGGCCTACCACGTAGGCCCTGCAGGCAGGCAGGCAGGCGCACACGGCCTAGCTCACCCAGAACTCAGCCTTGCCGTTGTTCTTCTTGCAGCGCTCGGCCAGCACCGACACGCCCACCGTCACCTCGGACATGGGGTCCTCGGCCGCCCGCATCAGCACGATCTGGATCACTCGGCCCTCGTAGATGTGGGCGTCGAAGGACGACTTCCACTCGGGGTACATGGTGGGCTTCCGCTGCACCAGGGTCTTCCCACGCTCTGGGAGGGGCACAGTGGGTCACAGCCTGTCGCTCCCTCCCTGGACTCCCCCCCGCCCCGCCGCCCGCCACCCTCAGAGCTCGCTCTCCCAGCAGCCTCAGGCCTGGGTCTCCCCATGCACTGCCCTGCTCCCGCTCACCACTGCTCCAGACAGTGTCCATCTCCCTAAGGGGCCCTCCCGGGACCCACCACGGGGCCTTTGCTTCTGCTGCTCCCTCTCCCTGCAGCCCCAGTGCTGGGGGCCAGGAACTACCAGAAGAAGAGGAAAGGCGTGCATGTGGGCCGGGCGCCCGAACGCAGGGCGGAGGTGTGGAGAGCTGTAAGCCACAGCAGCCTGGTCCTCCAGAGGGCCACTCCAGCTGTGATGACACAGCAAGGCAAGGGGCAGGCCCGCTCTAGACCCGACCATGGTCAGGGGGCCAGCCCTGACGTCAGGGTCAGGGACAGTTTCCTGGGGGGGGAGGGGGAAGGCACAGCTCACCCGGGACCAGTGGATGGGCAGGGGAGGGCAGAAGCAAGAGGATGTGATACCAGAAGACTGCCGCTTCCAGGAAGCCCTCCGGACCCCAGACAGATGGGGCCTTCGCTGAGCCTCCCGGCACCTTGAGGGCAGGGTCTGGCACAGAAGGATGCGTGGAAAGTGCCCTTGGGGGCCCCCTGCCATCCTGCACCCCCAGCTGCATGGGCAGGGGCAGTGCCCCAGCACGGTTTCCAGGGGAACAAGTGTTGCTGCCCCCCCCCGCCCCCACGTCCCTGCACACCTGTGCTGAGCGCCTCCTTCATCTTCACAGCACAGAAGGGCGGGGCGTCCTCTGCGGGCTCCAGGGTCCCCAGCTCGTAGGAGTTAAAGGCGATACGCAGGAAGGGCGCCATGATGGGGCCTGCAGGGGGGCTGTTGCACACAGAGGGGTGAGGGGGGGGGCCCTCAGGGTGAACGCAGCCTCCTGGGCGGCCAGTGTTAGTGGACACACCTGACCCCAGTCTGGATCCTGCCAGGCCCGGACGCTGCAGGCAGCAGGGCTAGGGGCACCCTATGACCCCTCTATGACCCATCTGCTACCCCTTCTGGACCAGGTCCCCGGGATGTGCGGGGAGGGGGGCAGCACTTCCACATTGGCCAAGGGAGGCTGGAAGGGCCCCCCTGCCCCTGTCCTCCCCCATGACGCCCCTCCTGGCTTTCAAGTGTGTTTCGAGCTCCGACTGTGCAGGCAGACATGCAAGGGCAGGATGGCACCTGGGGACACGAGCCCCCAGGCTAAGCGCAACCTTGCAGTGGGGGCTCTATTCCAGCTCGAAGCATCACTGGTCAGCCCCACCCACCCTGGCTGGGCCTGCCTGACCTTCTGAACCTGGGGGTCAGGTCGCACACCCACCTGGCAAAGCTGCCAGTCCTCCCCCACACACATCCCCAACCACTGCCAATAGGAATCAGTTCCGGTCCCACGCTGAGCATCCCCTGAAGCACAGCCAGCCCTGCGGTCCTGCAGCTCCTCCCACTAAGGGTGTCTAGTGAGGGGGTCTTCTGGGTGGTTACTGGTGGACAGCATGCATCTGCCCCCACCCCCCACCCGCACCCACCCCAGCCTTTCAGGAACAGTGATTCTGGGTCCAGTCTCCCAAAGCAGTTTTGTTTTGTTTGGGGTTTTGTTTCGTTTGGGTTCTGGGCCACACCTGGCGACGCTCAGCGGTCACCCCTGGCTCTGTGCTCAGGAAATCATTCCTGGCAGGGCTCGGAAGACCATATGGAGCACCAGGGATCAAACCCAGCTCGGCTGGGGCAAGGCAAATGCCCTCCCCGCTGTCCTATGGCTCCGGTCCCTCCCAAAGCAGGGCTGAAGGGATGCTGACAGGGCCTATGTGGGCGCACGTGCCTCCCAACCTGAGTCGCTCACCGGCAGACACACCCCCACCCTGAGCACCTCCTGCTCCCACAGGGAGCCAGAGCAGAAGCGGGGGGGGGGGGGGACTGGGGGGGCAGGCATGAGGGGATCCCAGCCCACAGGGGTGTGAGGTCACATCTGTGCCTGTGGCCTGAGAGCGCCCGAGGGCAGGCAGGAAGTGCAGAAGGAGTTGGGACAGTGGCTGGAGGGGACACAGGCTGTGTGAGGGGCGGCCGGAGCCAGGGGGAAGAACATTCTTGGTCGCCCTGGCTGGGGACACGAACAGGAATCCGGGGAGTGCCCCTGATCCTTCAGAGAAAAGGCCACAGAGGCCCTCCCACAGCTCTGCCAGCAAACATAACCTCTGGTCAGAGGCTCTGGAGCCCCAGGGGCTGCTGTGTGAAGCCTGCACGGGTGCGAGGCCAAGGGACCAGGGACAGGGTAGCCACCCTTCAGCCTGGGAGGAGCAGGCCCTGGAGGCACAGGACTGGAGCCAAACCAGGCCTGCACCCGCTTGCCCCCTCTTGCTCTCAGCACCCCTTCCCCTGCACAGCCCCCCTCCCCCCCACCCCGCACGCTCCCCGCATCCCAGGTCCCAGGGAGCCAGTCCTAACAGACAACCCGGAGCTCCAGGAAGATGAGGAGCCAGGGTGCCCCGCGCCCGCCAGCCACGCCTCGCCCTGCAGCCCCTGGGACACACACGGTCGCCCACACAGACATACTCCATGCCTATGCCTGTCCCAGGCCCCAAGGGGGGACCCCCCAGGGCTGCAGGGGGGGAAGCCCCCTCAGGCCTGCCCTCCTGAGCAGCCACGGGAGGGAAGACCACGACCACGAGAGGCCCACTGCACAGCTAGGCCAGCGGCCCCGAGCAGGGGTCTGCGGGGGGTGGGGGGACCCAGTGGGGGCTGCCCCAGAGCTAGTGGGCAGTCATCCAGGGAGCAGGTCACTCACTGGGCCCCAAGTTCCTGGGATTAAAACTAGAGCATGCCTGGGTCCTGGCCAGGCTCGACGCCCCTGCCTCTTCCCCCCATGGCCCCCCAGAGCCAGGGGCCCAGGAGGGAGAGAGCCCCGAGCCCCGGCAGGCATCTGCCCCCACTGTGAGGCCCCGTGCAGGGAGGTGCCGGAGTCCCTGAACCACTGGGGTAAAGAAATGCACAAAACAAGTGGGGGAGCTGCTATTTAAAACCCCCATGCAAATAGGCCCCAAAGGCAGGCAGCCGTGAGCTCAGCCTGAACACGGCCAGGAGGGCCCGGGCGGACCGCCCACCCCACCTCCCCCAAAGAGGACCCTGTTCTCTAGCTTCTCGTACCACAGATGGGGGGTGGGGGCGGGGAGGAGCGCAGTCCTATGAAACAGAGAGCACTGGGCTCGGAGTACAAAGGTCTGGGCTGGATTCTCAGCTCCCACCAGTAAGGACCATCATCCTCTTTGGTGGTCAAAACCACACACACACACACACACACACACACACACGCACACTTGCTCTTAGGATGTCACTAGCTGCGGTGCCCCTTGGGGGTCTGGGAGATGGCCATTGTCCCAGGAAGAATCAGGCCCAGAGGGACAAGAGACTTGCTCAGCATCATATAGCAGCGTGTTCCGTCAGGAAGCAGATCGGGCAGGGTGTGGGCTGGGAAGGCAGCTCGTGTGTGCAGAGCTGAGTCCGGTCCCCTTCCTGCATCCCCATCCTGCCCGGCCAGGCACCAAGGTGGCCCTGCCCAGGGGCCCCCGCCGTCCAGCCCCACAGGTGCAAGCAGGGCAAAGACACAGTTCAAAGGTTAAGGTGCTTGCCTGACAAGAGCTGCCAAGGCGGCCCTGGTCTGAACCCTGGCACCGCCAATGGCTCCTCAACATCGACCCAAGTAAGCGCCCCAAACAGATGAATCAGAGACGGCACGGAGATTTAGACGCTTGCCCTTTGGATGGCCCTGGTTTGACCCCCAGCACTGCCAGGCCCTGAGCATGACCGGCCATGTGCCCACACCCCCAACCCCTTCCTGTCCCAAGGAAGAGGCACTGGGGAGAGTGTTCGCAGTGAAGGGGTGTCCCTGCATGAGGCCAACTCGGGCTCAACCCCCAGGAACACATGGTCCCCCAAGCATCGCCCGGTACAGCCCAGAGTGGGAGGCGCGGCTCCACATCCTCTCGCCTCCTGACCTTGCCCAGGAGGCCTCACCCGCCAAAAAAGGACAGGGGAGGCAGCCCGGTGAGGGAGCACTTGCCTTGCACAGACCAGGCCCTGCGCTGGCTCCCCCACATCCCACAGAGGACCAAGGGACCCAGCCCTGCCTAATGCTGCCTTGAGTCTTTCCCAGAGAGCCATCGGGAGGAAGAGACCCAGGCACAGGGAGAGAGGGACGCCTTGGGAGACGGCCACCCTGACCTCCAGGCCGCTCCTGGTTCTGACCTTGAGCCCTCCCCACCGCTGGACCATGAGGCTCAGAGCTGCTGCCTTCGCCCGTCCCCACTGCTGGGGCCCAACTCCGGATCTCCAGACCTGGACAGTAGCACTGGACCCCAGGGATAAGTGGGGTGGCCCTGTGCCCCAACCCACCCCAGGCCAGTGGCACAGCACACACTCCTCCTCCTGCTACCCCGCTGTGGCGGCTCTTCCTCCTCCACCTCCTCCTCCTCCTCCTTCTCCTCTGGGTCGAAACCGGCTCCTGCCAGTGCAGAGCAGTGGGCGGGGCTGGCCATTCTGCACGGCGGCCGTGGAGATGCAGGCTGTGAGGTCGAGCACTCGCCTGCTGGAGCGTGTTCCAGAAAAGGAGACGTGGGCCATGCCGCCCGAGGGGGCCGACAGAAAGAGAAATGTACTTTCTAATTTGGGTCCCCAACAGTCACCTGCAACTTGTTTGAGGACAACGTTTATGAAAGGTGAAAAATACCGGGCCGTGGCCCAGTGGTACAGTGCTTGCCTCAGGCACGAGACCCCAGTCCCATCCCCAGCACCACCAAGACCAAACAACAGAGTTCCCCCGGGGGCCAGAGTGATAGCACAGTGGGGAGGGCGCTTGCCCTGCACACAGCCCAACTGGGTCCGACCCCTGGCATCGCATAGCAGTTCCCTGAATCTCATCGGGCGTGATCCCCGAGCACAGAGCCAGGATTTGGCCCTGAGCACAGCTAGATGTGACCAAGAACCAGAAGTCAGAAAGAGTGAAAAGTAAAACCCAACATGGGCCAGGAGACTGGCCCCGCCTGTGTGAAGTCTGGGGTTAGCGGCCCAGCAGGGCCAATAGTTAAACATAAACCCCAGCAAGCTAGCAGGTCTGTGAGGGAAGGTGCCCAGACATGACTCCCCTGCCCCCCAGGGGAACCTGAAGTCAGGCCCTGCAGGAAAGGGCTCCTGGGATCTCAAACTGCATCCCAGGCCATGGTGGCACAGAGTGGGCCCGCTCCCTGGCAGGAGTGGGTATGTGAAGGCAGAGAAGGTCCCTGTAGAACCTCTGAGAAAAGTCTCCTAAAAAGACTCCCCCCACCCACCCAACTAGGGAGCAGGATTCACCCCTCCAGCACCTCTCCCCCACCCAACACACCTGCCCAGCTGTGGAGCTGTGTCCTGCCACCTGCCCGTGACACCAGTGTAGATGGGGTGGGGGTGGGGGGCAGTGGCTACAAAACCAGGGTGCGGGGTTGACCCGTCTGCACCTCTAAAGGGTGCAGATCCCTCTGCAGAGCTTGGGGGCCTGTTACTGGCACCTTTCGCGGTGAATGGAGGAGGGTGGAGGCCCAGAAGAGGAAGGAGGAGTGCCAGCCCTGGCAGGGTTGCAACAGGACAAGGGTGCTGGGCGTGGCAAAGGGCCGGGCAGGCAGGCGGCTGGCAACCCCCCCCACCACGTGGTCTTCCCAGAAACAAATCCAAGAGGCGGCAGGGGTTTCACAACCCAGAAAACGGGCTCAGCAAGAAGAGGAGGTGGCAGGGAGACAGGCTGGCCAGCCCTTCCCAGCACCCCCACCCCAGGCCCCCGCGCCCAGGTGCCCAGCCCCGACTGGTCTCGGCT